TTTCCTCGAAATCAATTAAGTGGTTTTAGGTTAAACTTTCAGTAATTATACAAATGGAATGAACTTTATTCATCACAAAGAATATTTGGAAAATTCACTTCCGGTTCCAAATTATTGTCAATGTTCTGATTTCATGAATGAACCCCCCCCCCTCCTTTTTCTCAAGATTAAACGTATCATAGATAATAGAACTTGACTTCTTGATGTCTGAAATCTACTTTTTGCGTCGTCATTACTTCCGGACGTAGTCAGCGGAAGTGAATTTCAAAAATAGATTTTTTTTTTCAACTTTTTTGTTTTTCAATATTTTTTTTATGATTTTAGTAGAATTAATAGAAAGTCTTATCCAAATGCTAAGTAGATAGTTTCTTTCAATATTGATTTATTTTAATTCTAGAAACTCATGACTTTTTGCTATTGAGGCAGGCGTCCCGTTAGCGTAGTGTTTAAAGTCGTTGATTCTCAGGGGGCGACTCTGGTTCAATCTTAAGAATGTCCGTTTTTTCTCACTTTTTCAGATTAAATTTATTTATTTCCGTTCGAATTTTGAATATTTTAACATTTTAAATGTTATTTTTTCTTTTATGTATGAAGAAGTGACAGGGATTGTACAACGGTATACGTTGTGTTTTGAGTGAGAAATGGATCTCTTATTATGGAGAAGGCACGGAAGACCTTCTTGTTGCCATGGCAACGAGTTTTTAGTTTTTTTTTCCTCCTTCTTCCTGGGTATTTTTTTTTGTCCGTGAGTGATCTCGGAAACTACTTAAACGATTGAAGTGAAAGCTGTTTACGGATAATTATAGATGCGCGGAATGAATTAAGGTCATTTTAATTTGCGGGCATTTGTAGTGAGTATAGCCGTTACTTATATATATATTTTTTTATGAAATGCTTTGATACTCAGAATATAAAGATAGATTAATAGTGTAGACAAGATGACATGGTCAGGATGCACATGCATGCGCGTGCGCAGTGAGTAAAATGAGCAAAATGCTTGATTTAAGCGTTTACAATTTTTTTTTTATAAAATGTTTTGAAACTCAGAATATAAAGATATATTAGTAGCGTAGACCAGATGACATGGTCAGTTCGCACATGGATCACGTGCGTGCACGTGTGTGCGCGTGCAATGAGTAGAATGATTTACTGGACATATGTGCAATTTTTATTTTTCATTTTTTATGAAATGCTTTGAAACTAAGCATATAAAGATATTTTTATAATTTAGACAGATCATATTATCAGCATTCCCATGCATTCACGTGCGTGCTTGTGCACTGTAAAATAACCAACATACAGGAATAACTTCTATATTTTTTTTTGGGGGGGGGGGGATAAATTGCTTTAATTTAAAAATCTTTTCCGCATAGCGTTATAGTTTCTGACCCGTTTTAAAGTATTTGATATCATTATTTACTTTACAATGTGACAACACAGCAACTTTAGAAGACGATACGACCCAGATGTCATAATGCTTCTAGTACATGCATATATATTAATTCTCTAGTACTTTTAGGATAATAGCATATCGTATATTGGTGGAGAAAATGTTTCATTTCCGGAGAAGTACATCTTCGTCTGTTGATAAAGGTTGGGCCTGGATCGTCCTCCTTGGTAAGTCTTTAACCAGTAATGTACTTTAGTACATCTGAGGAATTTATTTTCATGGCATTACAGGTACTTGGTCTTGGTATAGAGTTATCGGTACACCAAAGGCAACGTATACGTGAAAGATGCTGATGGTCAAAGTACATATTTAAACTGATAATGTATTCCAGTAAACCTAGTACGAATTAAAGTTAGCATGGATCGATTGTGTAATTGTAAGATTGTATGTAAAAATATTTATCAAAATTTTAAAGAAATGATTTTAACATGTTACATTATACAACTGGCATTCGACACAAGGTTATTTAAAATTGCATAAGACACTCTATATAGCTATTATAGATAACTATGCTTTTAATGGAAAGATAACCTTATTTAATTAATTATGTTCTTAGAATGTGCAAATACCTAAGTTAGAGGGCCTTTGACGATTATTATGTATATATGCCGGTAAATTATATAGTATATCAGATTTATACTTATTAAATTTTTTGTTGGGAAGTCTTCACAATATTATGTTAACTGCATTTCAGTCATCCGTAGTAAAGTTATGAAGTCAACCTTATATACATATGTTTAGAAAGGGGATCCTAAAATTAAATTTCAAGGAGGGCATCTTGTTATTGTATAACAGGTCATCATTTAAATCTGATATACTTTTAAATATCCTTATGGATATTTATGCTCTAGGCGACGATGCACCGAAATCTTTTGTACTAGTTAAAGTTACATAATGAGTCAAACCAATGTGTTTCTATTAAGAAAATTGTATCATAAAACAAAAGATTTATGTGAAATATGAATAAAGCGGAGCTTTGACAACTCAACTGCACTGTAAAGCAAGAAAAGAACTGTAAAATGTAAGTGCTGGAAAAACAAAGGTTGTAACTATTGCTTAGTTGTTATCGTCAATGTCAACAATGTCAAGGTCACGCGACTTTTATTCTTAGCATTAAACTTGTAAACAACATTGAATTGGAGCAAGCAAAAGTGAGGAATAAGTTCTGGTCATCTTTATTGAAGATTGTATCAAAATCCTCGGTCATCCGACATTTATATATATGGAATTGACACCATGGTAAATTCTTCAACTTTTCTGCGCATGCGTACAATAAAGACGAAGAAGTGAAGCAGTATTTTTGTGTTGGGGCAAACAAAATTATTTTTACTTCTTTTTCTCCAAAAAAGATTTTTTTTAGGTTCTGAAACCTGTTATTTTCTGAAACCTTGTATCTTCAAGAATTGAACAAAATTTGCATGTTTCATGCAAAAATTCTACTTTTGACAATTTTCCCTTTTTTCCGTCACGGTGTCTTTTTAACTTCTAAAATATTTAGATCTTAAACAGTAAATGATTATGCTTTGAAAACTACCCCTCAGTCTTATACATCCAAGTAAAATTTGCAGTGGGTCTATTAATTTTATAATCAGGACATAACTATATTACGTACAAAACCAAATCTGTTGCCTTTTGTAGTACCGATATTTCATGAAAAATAGTGCTGTAAAGCATTATTTTCGTACTCACTTTCCCCAACAGACCTCAAGCACTTTAAAATATGCATCAATATTGATATCTATTCAGCATTTATTGATTTTAAACTCGATGATTAGAACTTTTAAAAATCCAAGAGATCGATTGCAACAGAAATGATTCCATTTCCTGTGTATATCATGTACTAAATATCCGTTCTGGACCAAATCCCACGGTACCGGTTAAATATTAGTAAACTTCTTCGAACACATCCTTCTCGGTACACGTATGCCTGGGCACACTAAGAGGGTTGCCTTACGGACATCTTACTATCGGGACTAATAAATAAACCATCTAGTCTTTAGTCCACAAAGAAGGTTGGTCCTCTAACAACTGTTTGTTTATGTGTGTGATTGATAATCATATCTTGTCGGATTATTCAGGTCCATGATACACTTTTATATCATTTATGTGGACAACCTAGTCTTGGCCCAGAGTCGACTTGGCTGAATCTTTAGATGGCTGAGCGTAACATTGTACGAGGATTGTCCAAAAAGTTCGTGGACAATGACGTTTTTGTCAAACGGAATGGTCCAAGATATACTTATTGTGTATCAAAATATTTGTTATGAAAATTCAAGTCCGAATAGTTTGGTTTTGCTTGTTTGAACGTAATATTTTTGTAAAAATCGCAGTCTTTAAACGTCGCTGATAGTGCGCACGGCTCAGGGTTAAAATTTCATTAACTTTGAAATGGACTTTGAATAAAATTATTATTCTCTTCAAAACACATACCAAAACTTGAATTAAATTAAATATGTCTTAATTAAAGCGGTTGTCGTCATTTTCTTATCTTCAGTATCATTTATCGGACAGATAGTGAGAAAAATTAAGAACCCCCGCTTAAGGAAAAATAAGAGCATGCGCAGATCTTGGGGGAGGGGTCGGGTCTCCGCACGTTCCTGTGCTAAAAATAGTGTCACGTGACCTTTAATACAAACGGTGAATAACTCTAAATCTTTGTGCATGATCGATGCCAGCAAATTTCCAATTGACTTCTTGAAAAAATAATTGACCAAAATTAAAAAAAAAAAAAAAAAGTGGGCGGGACACTTTGAGAGGGGCGGGCGGGGCCATAGCGAGTTATGGTATAAAATTTCATTGCAAAAGCTCACAAGCTTCTTCAGATATCGCCCGGAAACAAGTTTTAAAAACAGATATAATTTATAAATTCGTGACCTTGACCTTTGACTTTTTGACCTCAAATCAATAGGGGTCTTCTGCAGTCCAAAGGGAGTTTTTATGTAAATTACTTTGCAAAAGCCCAAAGCCTTTTTGAGATATCGCACGGAAACAAAAGCCTTACAGACAGACAGACAGCTAGATAGACGGACGGACAGACATACCTAAATTAATATCTCCCAAGATGGGGACAAAAAAAACGCAAGAAATATGTGCCAAAATTGACAGAAAAAGCTATGTCGGTCGTCCAAATGGAACAGTCTCTGGTCATAAAATAATGTTTCAATATGGTTGAAGCCACGTCAGAGGCAAACTCAGCCGAATTTCAATCGAGATTACTGGACTCAGAGATCGAAGTATGGAGTATTAAAATTAATACACTTTGAAGGAATTTCGTGGAATGCAAAATCGAAATTTGAAACATTCCGGAGTGTACGAATATTAACTGAACAGTTTTGAATGTACGTGTATTAGAGAAGTCAGTATTTCATGTATTATTATACAAGTTGTATACAAGTACATGTCTGAGTATTCTGTTTTACCAATAACCTACAGTGTAGCCAAGCAGGAAATAAATTTTTAAAAAAGCAGAAGGATAAATCTTTCTTTTTCTGATTTAGAATTTTTCGCATTTACTTAAAATGCAATGATTCTCAATCTCTTACAGGGTGTTTTATGGAATACTTAATAATACTTGGTATGTTCAGGTCCTTTGGATTATTTTTTGTGGAATATCAGAAGAAATTCTTAGCAACATCGTCTGTAATTTCTACGGTTCTCTCTGTTCAAACAATTATAGCAAGCGTTTTATGTAAGTATCTTAATTTACATGTTCCTTGTAATATTTAGAAATATATTCGGGCTTGTTTCAGTGTATTTCCGACAAGGATGGCTTTCACATACCTTTCTTTAAAGTATTTCGTAAGTTAGGGAGGTCAATCACAATTAATCAGTATTTTTATAGGTGTATATTTTAAAATATTACATGTATCAGCAATGACAAAATATATAGATTTTTGAAAAATTTTATTTGATTATATATATATATATATATATATATATATATATATATATATATATATATATATATATATATATATATATATATATATATATATATATATATATATATATGTTTTAGCAATTGTTGTCATGGGAATCGGAACAAAATACTTTGGTGAACGGTCCTTGATAATTGGTGCTGCACTGTTTGGGCTCGCCTCCAGTGTAGGCAATGCATTTGCCCCTCGGCCTTCGGTATTGTTCTTCACCCAAAGTACTTTATTTGGTATGTCTGTCAATTACATCTCGTACTTCAAAGTTGATTTTTTTATCATCATTCATGAAGCAACAGTTACATGTATAAAAAATACATTATTTTTCTGCTAGCTTTAACAGCAGTGACGGCGCATACTCCATCCACTTTGATACTCGGTAAATACTTCGAGAAACGTAGAGGGATGGCTAATGCGATTGCAAATGTCGGTGGGAGCATAGGAGGATTGGCTTTACCCCCTTTATTTGCTTATTTATTTGAAATTTATGGCCTGCAAGGTGCACTTATTACAGCGGGAGGAATTTTTCTCCATTTCATTCCCATTGGGATGTTGATGAGACCAATTGAAAGAAAGACAAACGTATTACCAGACAAGGATGAAGAAGGCAATAACAATGATTTAATAGGTAATGGACTTTCTGATAAAAAACTTTCTTCAAATGAAAGAATTAAAGATGAGAGTGAACTTGAAGTGAAGGAGAATCTAATACCAAAAGGTGTTGATGGAATAGAGAACTTAGGACAAAAAACTAGTAGTTCTGAAGATGACAGAAATATACAAGTGAAGCCTTCTGAATTGTTTGGAAGTTCAGCCGATATTTCAGTGACAATATCCATGGAAGGAATTAATTTAGCTGATTCCAAATTGGAATCTGATTCGAAAATGAAAATTAACACGGACCTTTATCAGGATGAAAAAGGCAGAAATTGTTGTATGCAGTTTTTATTTACTTTATTTGACTTTTCATTGTTTAAGAATGCTCAGTTTATCCTATTAATGACATCATCAGTTCTCGTCTGTGCTGCCTGCAGTATTCCTATTACTTACATTCCACCTTTTGCTAAAGACAAAGGATTACAGACAGAATTAATTGGATACCTCGTAACAATTTCGGCTGCAAGTGACTTAGTAGGCCGATTTCTATTTGTATTTATTGCCGATACCAAGAAAATTGAAAGGCATCATATGATGACAATTGCAATGATCGCCAATGGAGCTACATGTTTCATGGCATTTTTTTCTACAAACTTTACATACCTTGCGCTTTTTGGCATCCTTCAGGCTATGTTTGGCGGAGTTTACTATTCCATGATTAATGTTCTGGTAGTTGATTTCATTGGATTGGAAAAACTAAAGTACGGAATAGCATTTGGAGCGGTAACGAGGGGAATATCAATAGCTGTGACTTCATTGGCTGTTGGTAAGTTACTACATAGGAAAAATGATTTTGGTATCATGCACTATTTTATACAAAAAGATTATCATGCACAAAACCTTTCTTGGTAATTTTTATTGTCTATCAGATTTTCTTTTTATCTTAATACCATTTGTCTTCCTGATGAAGATATAACTATTAATTAAAATATGTATCTTAAAGTAAAAAAAAAGATTGCATTACTGTAGATTCCTTATTTTACGCGAGTACATATAATCGCGAAATGGCTCTTAGACGTCTAATCGCAAGAATAATAATTCAAGAGTGGACGGTTATCATGAAATTTTACATGGATTTCAGCACCATAAAATTAAAAGCGAATAATTTTATTTCGCGAGTGGTGCTTCTCGCGAAATAACGCGATAATTAATTCCTCGCGTATTTTTAGGAATCTACAGTATCCGAAATAACTTAAATATATATCATTTGAATACCCCAAAAATGAACGTGATAAAGTACATACTTGATTTTAGTTAAAAATTTAGCGATAAAATGATTGGCATACAGTTGTATATTCGTGTAGTGAGATTTTAAATAAACAAAGTATATTAATGTAAAAATTCTATCTTTTAAATAAAAAAATATATTAATGTAAAAATTCTATCTTTTAGGTATTTTACGAGATTCCACTGGTAGTTATGTTGCGGGATTTTCTTTGATGGGAGTGTGCTCAATTGTTGGGGGAGTAATTTTACTTTTCAAGGCTTTTGTGTCAAGATGACAAACCGAATGTATAATATTAAAACACACTGAGAAAAAAAAATGGATACCAAAAGTAGATGTTATCCGGCAAAATTTATGCCGTATGCTTTTTTCAGTAGAAGAAAATATATTTATCTTTGCTCTGCTTTTTTCTGATGCTTGATGCAACACTCAAGTTTCTATTTTCAGTAATATTCCAAATAGAACCATCCATATACATGTCCAACTTTCTGTTTTTTTTCTCTTTCCTTCAGTCAACACTTCAACCCAATCTATTAATCAATGAGCAAGTTTTACTGAGGGAAGAAAATTAACGTCCAGTTTTACAATAGTTCTTAGAATAACAGGCAAGCAGAAAGAGGCAGTCAACTTCTTCCATGAGAAATATTTTTGCCGTAAATGCAAAAACATGTATGTGTAAACGGGCTTTCTCGTAACGAAGAAAAATTCTGGTCGTTCTTTGTATGGTTCTTTTTAATTGTGGCAATTTAGATATATAAATAAATCAAACCTACAAAACATGTTAACATAATAAATATTTATAACATAATATTAATATAGGATATTATATTGTCACAGACTATTCAGTTTTCATAAAATCTATATTACACTGTCTGATATTCTTATTAATTTTAACATAAGCACTTCCTCATTTTACAATTTATTGGAAATAACTTATTTTTCCATATGCATAAAACTCTCTAGTTAATTTATATAATATAAATTATTTACAAATTTCAGAATAAGAAAATAATTTCTGCATTATAATATATACCAAGTTGTGAACAAAGACTCTCTCTCTCTCTCTCTCTCTCTCTCTCTCTCTCTCTCTATATATATATATATATATATATATATATATATATATATATACAGCTCCGTGCACTATTCAAGCCTACCTGGTTTTACGCAGAAATTAAGGTAACATTTTTTTCGGAATGAAAATTAACATTATCGAACTTCAGTGCGACTACATAACCATAGCTGTATTACATATGTCATGTCAAGGGTACATGTCCTTTAGAATTATTATCTTAAGTTCTTAAAGTTGAAGTTTTAAAGTGGTTTTAAAGGGGATTTTAACAATAATTGGTACGATGTAACTACTATATGATTCAACCATAAGTATTTACAAATTAAATTAATCGAGCTTTCTTTGATATTATTTAATTGAAGTTTTTAAGTTGACTTCGTAAAGAAGAGTATTTTTCTAAGTACTTTGCTCATTTACCATACTCTTGGTTTTGTCGAAATGTAGCGCCGAAAACAGACAATGCTGCAGAATGAAATCATGCTAAAAGGTAGGATAATGAAGTGTTGTTTCTCTTTTAAAAAAATAAATTGTAACTTCTGAAAGGAAAATTCTTATACATTTACGGTTTGAAACTTTTAAATTTTGCAGTTGGACGGATCATTCATGATGCTAGATTTCAGAAAGTAACTGAAAATTGCCAGGTTTTTAAACAGAAAGCAGTCGAACAAATGAGTAGCACTGTTATCATCTTGAACTATAGAGTCATGTTAATGTACAAAAAAAAACACGTTACAGGAGCTGTAATGTGTCTGTGTTTAGGCAAGGCAAAAAAGGTCATCCATAGGCAAGAGAGAATCTTCAAGAATTAAGCATTGCAGGAAAGGCAAAAAACCGGAAAAACCATTTTCGAATTGTTATAATTTAACAGCCAAGAGTATATAAAAATCCTACCAATTATTATGTGTGAAATATGTTTTTAGTTAGTGAAATAAAATTAAAATAAGTCAAACAATCACTTTTAAAATATATTTAGTTCCCTCGCTACACAATATCACATTGTAACAATGCGACGTTAATTTGTGCGAAAACCCATGTGAGTTTAAAAAGTGTGCAAAGCTGTGTTACGACTACCTCATCAACTCTGTCCAAACCATATAAGAGTTTGGAATATGTTCCATACAATATATAGTTTTATTTACTAATTTTACAATATACAATATACATGTATTTACATAATCTTTCAGATCAGATCTTGTCATTAAAAAAAATCATTTATCAGTGTAACTTTTAAATTGGATCACTGCATTTGTATTCATTCAAATCATTTGCTAATATATTTTTTACATTTTCCATTTACCCATCAAAAACTATTTCATTCGCACCCATTAATTCAACTAAGCAAGTCATATATATATATATAAAGAAATGTTCAAAAAAGAACTCACTGTGTGGTCATGTCTTAGCCTAGTCAGAATATAAATATTTATCAAACAAGAAAACTCCACGAACTCTTAAAAAAAAACAAAAACTATATTCAGTCAGGATTTTGACCTTATTGACCTGACAATAAAATCCTTATATACCAAAAATAGCCAGTCGACTAAATCTGACCCATAAACTGGTTCACAAAGATATGAATACACTAAAGATTTCTAATTATAGAATGATAACTCTTAATCTAAAATAAGTAGTTCCATGCAGTGAGGTTAGTAGATTTAATTGCCAAACTGACTATAACATTTTCAGTTAAAATTCGTATTTATTTATTTATGGCAATATGTTTATTTATTTACAGCTTAAAAATAACAAATAACCCATTATTACATATATATCTCAGTTTCTATCACAAAACTATCTTTAAATCTAATATCTATGTATTATGATGTTTTGATAATTTGAATATGTATCTTTATTATACCAGTAAATAAGAATAAGTATTTACTTTTAAATTCAAACTTTAAAAATATTTTTTTTGTTAATACACATGGAAAAATTGACTGGTTGTTCGTCAGGGAAATTTCTCTGAACAGGATTTAACCATGACCCAAAACATTTTTGGTTTTACATACATGGATCATCGTGCGAGAGAAATGTATGGAATTTTGAGAACCCTCATTAATCACTTACGTATGAATTTTGTGTTATCTTGACATAGACTGTAACTTGAAAAATATTTTTTTAAAATCATTTGTAATGTCTTTAAATATTCCAATTTATCAAAAGGGGATTTAAAATATAAAGCTAAAGTAAAATTTTAAAGCAGACCAGCATATCAATCACACGATAGTATTATGTTATTCACATTCTAGTTAAGAATTTGGTATAAAACTAGATCATTTTATAAGGTACAGAATGATTTCATTTTATTTATGAACATTCATTTTCTTAAATCTAACTTCATAGAATATAATAAACGATCAAGAAGTTTTATTCGAAAAATTATGATAAAAGTTAAAACAAGAAAACAAGATACTGTCACAAGTCAGTACTATCGCAATGTAAGTATTTTCTTCTGAATGAACGCTATTTCCCATATACCTTCGAAAGAGCCATCCAAATTAATATACAATGTACAAAAATATGTTTACATGTATCAGATTGAGCATATATTGCACATCTGCAGAGCAACACAATCATCTTGCAAAATATGAGATAAATGTTGTGTAAAACTTATGAGGTGTTATGGGAACCAGGTTTTTTGTACAATAAAAATGCTGTTTTTCAACTCCCATTAAGCCTGTGGGTGAAATGAAAATTCGAAGCTTTTTGCACATCTGCAGAACACCCCAATTACCTTGCAAGAGATAAAATGGATACCTGCCTAAACGTAACAGGAGTTTTGGAAACCAGGTTTCTGTGAAAATTTAAAAATGTTTTTCGACCTCCATTTGATCCCCAAAGATGAAAATGGAAACATTGCACATCTACAGGACACCACCGATTACCTACCAAGAGATTATTTGGCTTCTGAGTGAAATGTATGAGAAGTTTTTGGAACCATGCAGCTTTCTACTTTTAAAAACACGTCATTTTCTGACCCTCAATTGATCCCCAAAATAAAAAGGAAAATTCCGAGACCTCATTGAACATCAATCACTCTTGCAAAAGATGATTTGGCTAGTTAAAACGTAACAAAATTTTTGAAACCATTTAATTTTTTTTTTAGAAAAACGTTTTTCAACTACAATTTGGCCCAAAGGTGAGAATGAAAACTCTGAAACCTTATTGCACATTTATAGCACACTATCTATCATATATTGCAAGAGATGAATCGGTTACTGCTTAAAGTAAGTGCAATTACAGGAAGAAAAAAGTGTAATAGATGGACGTACGGACCAGGATAGAAAATATTTTGACAACAAGAATATGCACCAAAATCAGAAAGATGTGAATGAAGTAAGGTATCACTGACTATGTTTTTCTACGTCCTGTACGTCTGAAATACCAGTAACCACTGATTTTTATACGATACAGCATTAAGGTTAAACGTTCATAATTAGTGTGATATTTACACTTACCCATGAATAATACAGCAGTTCATCAATGTCTAAACCAAGGCATGCAAATAACAAATAACTTGATGTTACAGGGACATAAGCAACTCCCTTTAGAGTCAAAATTTCACAAATTTTATGGTAGTTGCAATATGTTTCTATCAATGGGTCAAAAATAGAAATGAGGTTTTTCTGAAGATAAGAAAATCAGTCTCTTAGGGAAAAAAACTGACATTTTACTCAGCATACAGACGATTTTTCCTCCAGAAATAAAGCAAATACAAATTTACAATAAATAAGGTTATGACAATTTTGTAAATTGTCTAGATTCTATTTTTTCAACTTTCCTTAAAGTATGTTTTCTGTCACATGAATAATATTATTTTTATGTCCCCGTATCGAAGATTCGGGGATATATAGATTTTGCCCTGTCCGTCCGTCTGTCTGTCTGTTTGTCCGCAAAAACTCTAACCTCGCACATAACTTTTGATTTATGTTGGAGCTATGGCTTTCATATTTTACATGTGTATTCCTTGTGACAAGGCCTTTCTTTGGGTACCACCATATTTGACCTTTTGACCTTGACCTTGGAGTTTGACCCAGTTTTGCAAAATTTTACAAAACTTTTACCTTGGTCATAACTTTTAAACAATTGGTGCTATGGCTTTCATACTTCACATGTGTAATTCTTGTGAAAAGACCTTTATTTGAATACCAACAACTTTGACCTTTTGACTTTGATCTTTGAGTTTGACCTACTTTTGAAAAACT